AATGGCTGAAAGGGCGAGTATGTTTGGTGTGACGGGGTTTCGAACACGCGACCTGCAGATTGCGAGTCAAGCGCCGTAACCACCTGGCCTCTTCAAATAATTACAGCACCATATATACATAAATAATGCATTCAATTTATTTGTTATTCATGTTGATATTTAGCTGTGTAAATCTGTTATTGTAATTGTATTTGTTTTAGTTTCTATAGATTAATCCGAAATGTTTAATAAACATGTTTTATGCCCTTAAGTTCATATTTTAAAACTTTTGGAGGTGTTAGTCGTAAACAAAAAATTATAGACCAAATTGATTTGAGTTACAACTACAATGTGATTGTAATTTGTGAGAAAATCTGACTTCAAATTCTTACTTTTTTTTTAGAAGGGGGGATATACCTGTAGGAACACGCATACTGGTACAAAAAAATTAATATATTAACTATACTATTAGATCAAGTGCATAACAAAATAGGTGGGCAAACTCTTTCATTATCTAGATGTAATAAATGAATACAAACATCATAATGTAATACGATTATCTTCATGAGGGCCTAAATGGAGTAAGATCTGAATGTAATTGAAGGCCGTTCATCTCCAGTGGTTTTTATTTGAATAACTAACACCGGTGACGCTCTTAATCGCTAAATAAAAATAGCTATAATTAGATAGTTGAAATTCTATTTCTTTCATACTACAAGCTTCAAAAATATACCACAATTAAGTAGAGGAAACTTACAGAAATCTTTTATCGTTACGAAACTGTTTACTCGTTTGTTTAGTTTGATAACGAATTTAAAATGTTAAGCAAATCATTATTTACTTCTCCATTAATGCTATAGTCTTCACTGGTTTCAGTGTAGTGAAGGGGAATAAAAGTATCTTATTGAATGCCAATTTTTGAAATACTCTTTTCATAAGTTACTTTATTCAAAGATCGATAAGCTAATCAATCTTATCGGTATCTTTAGGAGTCCCAGTGACTTAACATAATTGAGACATATCCGTAAGTAGGTTGAATGGGTATAAATAAATAATATATGTATGAAATAAATTACTCACAAAGAGATTTTGATTGCATTATTTATAAGATTCTTGGGGGGGGGGGGCTTAGTTGTAATTCATATAATTGATATTGATATAATATAATAATTATCACTGTTAATACTAAGATGCAGAGTCGTGTGCTTTCATTAACTTAGGTATTCTTGGAAAGGTTTGAATAGTTCGAAATCTGGTAAAATATACCTTTATACTTTTAAGTGAAATTAATGTATTAATGTTAGCATCTTCTATATGGACATATAGCAAGGTTAAGAGACAACAAGGCTTAAATATAATTATGAAAACTTTTCAGGAATTTTCAGATGTGGAAAAAACAAAAACGTGATTTTGATATATATATTTAAATAATTATTGAGTTAATGTAAGCTTCAATGTAAACAGCTCATAAAATATATACTATATAACTGTTGCTGATCTGAAGAATATCAAAATAGAAAGTTTATTCTGCAACTGAGTTTCATCCCTTTAAATTAGAAACGCTGGAAAAAATAGTGATTCAAAAATTAAAAAGATAAATTGTGATGAGCATTCTATGGATAGTCCATTGTGCACTTTGCGCTAAAATGAATTAACAAATAACCTTGAATATCAACAGAGCTCGTTATCAACGTTTAAAACAATAAGAACAAATATTCTATATTTTCCGAACACAATTCTCCAAGTTTATCTGCTCGCTGGTGGCTCAACGGTGCGCTTGAGGGCTTATAACGCTCAAAATAAGATTTTTATATCCGCGGTGGGCAAAGCAAATATAACCCATTGCATAGCTCTGCGCTTAACAACAAACAAAACTAAAACGTTAATTTTTATGAAAAATAAATAAATACCGTGAAACCTTTCCTCATATTCATGATAATTATTGAGGTAACAAGACGCACGTGTAGTTAATTTTTCAATTTTCTTGGAGATTACTTCTCATGTAATGTGAATGTGGTAGCATGCAGGATAATGCAAAGTCATGGAATTGATTGACTATGCTTTTGGCGCTTACACTAATTATGAGAATTGTAAATTTTTCATTCAAGAGATGTTGATCCTTGCAGCAGAAGTGAACTGACGTGTGCTTGATATACTGTTTATGTTTAGATAAGAAAACTCGAATCCTTTCCTTTTTTCTTTCTTTATTCCACCTGTTTCGTAGCATCACAGGCTACTCGTCAGTTTAAAAATTTATCCTAAATAACCTTAATGTTTCTCAAGGCATTTTAGATGTACGGTTGGTCAGATTATACAACTAAAAAAACCGATAGATATGTCTCAAGCATATTAAGGTTATTTAAAACAAATGTTTATATTGCAGAGCAGCTGTGGTGTTACAAAAGAGGTAAAATAATGAAGAGTTTGATTCAAGATTTATATATATTCATCTCCAAGTGAACCCAACTTGAATTATAGTTTACATATATATATATGCTCAAGCATTTTACTTCCTGTATTTTATTTATTAATTTTTACACAAATCTTGCTACCTACCATTCGCCTGCGCTTAATTTCTACATCTTCCAGACTCTTGGCCATATGTTAATAAAAGTACCTTGTTTGTTTTTTGCTTTATATATCATGTCTTCCTAGTTTACTGTCACACCAGAGTGAAAATATTTCACATTTATGGAAGATCCTGTAACTCTAGATTCTTACGGGGTTCCCTAACTACGTGTGAAAATATTTTGGTCTTAGAAATAATGCCATTTAGACAATGGTATATTTATTATTTTTGGGAGTTTGTGTTAAATTTCAATTAATTAAATACAGTACAAAACGTTTTTTATCTTTTTTTAGTTTATGTTTTATTTCCTGAGACTGGCGTACTGAGGGATATTTATTAATCAATGTTGATAATTGTTATTAATATTGGCTTAAGATTAAAAGAAGATAAGATATACATAAAAATACATTCATTCTATTAGGTAGGTAGAGAATTGAAAAGAATAAATAAAAATGCTTGTCATTCTAGATAATAAATTATGAAGCTATCTTACTTGGAACAACGATAATTGCTGATATTCAACCTAAATAATGTTTAAATTACTATTATGGTGCTTAGTATTAAATATCCTGCGTTATTTTTCCTAATATACTAAGGAAGAATAATTGATTATGTTAAATATTTATCATTACGATATTCGCTAACCGCTCTCAAGTTGTAAACTGTGACCAAATACTGGGTTTGATAGTACTATATGTGAAGATAAAGACTGATTGTCAGTTGTTGTTGTTTTTGTGTATTTGTTGTCTACCAAATATTGAATTATAAATAATACAAAAACTTTTGACACTCATATTTGTCTTTTTTGCCGTAGATAATAAAATAACAGGTAAACAAACTGATTGGTCACATTCGACTTAACCATGGTAATATACCTGTGACGGATTTATTATTATTATATATTTATTTTAATATCAACGTTTGTTAAGATTAAGTTTATATTTAGAAATATGCATAGCTTATAGTGTTGAATATGTATTGCCAAACTCCTGTCTATTTTCCAAAGTTGTGGAAGATTCTCGAGAGTAAGAATCAACAATATATATGTGTGTACGTAAACGACAGGATTAGCGTCAGCATTGTTACGTAAAGCTGAACATTCGAGAAAGCCTCCACACGCCTATAAATATAACCAACGCGACGCGCCAAAAAAAAGTATCTATTATTAGCTTGCTATAGTTAGTGTGCTATAAACTTTGGAAGCTATAATTATAATTGTTATAACGCTTATCAATCGGAAAACTTCAGATATTTGACCAAGATAATTTACAAAGTTCGAACATTACAACTCATTTAATTTAGTGGATTCACATCGAACATTAGTACTTTTACGAAAACATTACATAACGTCACGGTGGAAAACTTGGCGTGTGTGGCTGGTGAATAACGAAAGAGAAAGCTAGCTAGCTCTCTGTTAAGTGAATTATACCCTACGTCAACTCGTAATTAACTCGCTCATCGTGAACCCTCGATAAGATTTCGAAGAAGTTTCAGACTAGAAAGAAGACTTTATATTGATTGTAAGTTTGTGAAATAAAATGTTGTTTATAAATCATTGTTGTAATAACTATTTGTAATAACTGTTATTGTAAATTGTATTGTTGTGTGTATATTAAAACGCATTTGTGTTAAAAAAGAAAACAGTGTGTATCAATCTTGTTGGCAACTATCATAAACTGACTATATATCGGTTTTTACTTAACTGCTAAATCCAAAGTACAATTTAACTGCTAAATTTAAATTATCAGTTAACATAATTTCAGACCATTTGAAATTATAATACGTAACATAATTAATTTACAATATCTTACCCTACATTTGACACCAAATACATCAATCTCAGAGTAAAATTATCCTTATTTTTTATTCTTAAAACTATTCTATACTGATCTTATATATCTACAACATTACTCGGGTAAGTTTTGAGACTTTTAAAGAAATTTACTCATATATGTGCTACTTAGGTAACATTGTTATCTCAAAATTTTATAATTTAGTGAAATATAAACGTAATTATTTCCAAAACTATTTTAGAACGTTTCAGAAAACATTAGCAATATCACTTGTAAATAATTACCTTTGCATTGCACTTCCATAGATACTTTACAGGACAAGAATTTTTCTCTATTCTGATATGTACAAGGGGAAAGAGAACTTGAAGCAATGTTGTTGAAATGATGCTTAGAAAAATGTATAATTACGTCTGTACTAATAAAAACATACAGTTACTTAGACTAATCAAGATAAACATTTTGATAGATAATTGTAAGTGGTCATAAAAGCTTTTTGTAGTTTGCCTGTTATTCATTATTAACACTGTTACTTGTAATTATTATTTTAGGATTTTAGCAGCTCTTCTGGTAGAAGTTATTACACGAGTTTAGAAGTGACATTCAATAAATAAACCAGATTTAATGCCGTACTAGTAATTATTTTGATTACATGTCATATGTCCAGATTATGCAAAAGACATTAATCTTAATTCGATTGACTGGTGTTGCAAAATTTAAGACTAATATAACAAGATTAAGCATCGTAGAGTTTTTGTTTTAATGCACTGCTTCTGCCTCTTTCTAGAGTGGGACGACGTTTCTGTTCTAAACTGAGGCCTTTCTCTACTATGTCTACACTGTCTAAAATACTTTTAAAGCAATAAGATTAAGCATTTTTGCAATGCTTATGTCTGACGCGTTCAATAAGTTTTTTACCATCGCAGGATATTACAGTAATAATAACAGGAATGAGTGCACTCCGATATGTTTTCTGTGGAAGAAAAGGTTATATAAGACTCTAACAAGATCATAAGTTTAAAAAAAAACTTTTAATATTAATCAAACCTAAACCTGTTTTACAAAATGATTTCTTGCATTGCGTCAAATATATATCCGCAATATAATAACTAAAATAAGTCATTTTTTTATATCTTCCGAAATGATTTTACCTATTCTGTCATTTTTCTATATAACTTCAAAAATTATTGTCTATTCAGTCATACTTTTAAAACCAGTACACAGTATATTCCAGTATGATGTGTAGTAAACAGTTTAGTATAAGAAGAAACATTTAGCTGGAACGACACCCTAAGAAACACATGGGCTAAACGATCAGGCCATAGACCCTAAGGTTCAGTTATAGCCTCCCTAATTTTGAGCTACTGGCCATAAAATAGTCAGCCAGCGAGCAACACCTACCGTCACAGGGTTTTGTCCGTCTCTGAGACGAAAAATGGGATTTATTGTTATTAAATAAACTCATAACTAAAAGTGCGAAGAGTACTCAGTATAATTGAAAAGCAAATTTTGGAACTTCACTTCTGTAGTCTGTCTCGTTAAATATTAGCCCATGACCTGCCACGTAAAATGGAATTGGAATTGAAATTTTTAACCTGAAAATGGCTTATGCGTACGTGGACGAAACGCTCGAGTCAGAAACCCCTAGGGTTCAGGTACAGCCATCCTTATTTTTGAACTACCAGCCAGTAGCACCCGCTACTGCAAGAACTTTACCCATTATTCGAACAAAAAAAGGGAATAAGTTTTTTTTATTACTTATAGTTTTTATAACAGTCAAGTTCTTTCTGTTTAAACATCTCGCATTAAAATGATGTGCATGCGCGCACGCATCTGTGTGTCTGTTTGTGATTTCTATTTATAATATAAGGAACCCCTTCTTTTCTATTTGATTTTCCGCTAGCTTGCCTCATTAATAAGATGTGTACGTGCATATTGTTACGCACGTTAATAAGATAAGTAATACCCAGGTGCACACCCTTAGGGTCCACTTAGTACGGTGCAAAGTTTCAGGTTTCTAGGCTTTTCCTCTTGGAGCTATGGCGGTCTCACACACTCAGACACGCACGTGTGCACACGCATGCACGTGCGTGTCTGTCTGTGATTTATATTTGTAATATAAGGAATCACTTCTTTTCTATGTGGTTTTACGTTACTTTTCCTCACTATAAAGATTATGCGCACGTGGATAAGATAGTAATACCCAGGTGCACACCCTCAGGATCCACTTAGTATGGGTGCAAAATGTCGGGTTTTTAGACCCTTTCCTCTTGGAGTTATGGTGGTCACATTTCTTTTCTATGTGATTTTTCGCTAGTTTGCCTCATAAAAATATGTGCACGCGCGCAAGCACGTGAATAAGTAATGATACCCACACACCTTTAGAGGCCACTTAGTATGGGCACAAATATCAGGTTTCTAGGTTCTTTCCTCTGGAAGCTATGGCAGTCAAACACAGAGAGACACGAAGTGCGCACGTGCACCTACGCAGCGAGTGTCTTCCTGTCTGTATGTGATTTCTATTTGTAATATAAGGAATCACTTCTCTTCTATGTGGTTTTTCGTTAGCTTGCCTCGTTAAAAAGATCACATGCGTGTACACACTTGGATAAGTAATAATACCCATGTGCACACCCTCAAGTATGAGTGCAAAATTTCGGGTTTCTAGGTTCTTTCCTCTTAGAGTTATGGCAGTAACACACCCACATACATAGACCCATAGACACGTCTTTTTATTATTATTATAGATAATGTTTGTTTCTTTATGCCCAAATTCAGGTTGTATGAAAAACCTGCGAAAAATACTTTAAGAGACAACGATTTCTTATCACGAGGAAAAATATCCTCTTGATATGACTTTTGATATGACGTTCAAGAATTCCTTCTGTGATATTGAGTTTTCAATATGGAAGATAAAACGAGCTTGATTATTTGAGTTATAGCTTTCAATATATTAGATTGTCTTTCCTATTTCGATAAAAAATTTAAATTCTATAGCTGAAAATTTTCTAAGATGTTTCTTTAATGCATATATAAAAGATTACCAAATAAGCAAATTATCTTCTAATATATCTGTTGTGACAAGACGTAAAAAGTAATAATCCGAAATAATTGAGATAAAGGAATATCGAAGTAGAACCTAATTACATAATTTTTTTTCAAAAATACATGTCACGTAGGATTAACAAGCGGCAAAATCAAAACTAGCTTCAGAGTTTATTTTGTCAGTTATGAACATTATTGTGATTATTTTTATTCGAATGCTCATTAACAAACCAGGAGTTTGTGTTGTCTTCTCGTGTAATAAAGTGTTGTTCACGTTAATGCTACATTCGTCCATAAGTCATATCTTGCTTTAAAATGCTAATATCGTTGTATTGTAAGTTATGAAATCTAAACAAAATTGAGAATTTTCTTTCGTCTAATCCTATTTTTGATAACTCATCTAAATGTCTTGAAGGTATGACTGTTACCTTTGTTATACACCAGGATTAACTTATAAACTCTAAATGATGCATGTTTATTCTTTGAAACTATTTTGCATGCGTATTTGATTTTTAATATTAACGGTAGTTACAAGGTGAGCCACAATGTTTTCTTCTCTCTTGTGTAAAGTTCAAATCGCATTTCGATAAACAAGAAAAAAAAAAGTTGAATCTACTGTTTACGAAGAATTGTAGTGGTGTATAAGCTACTGTATTGTCTTTTCTTTTAGTAAAACGTATCTTTACAGCAGTGAAATATGCTCTCCTTATCTTTAGGTAATATATCTATCAGTTAATGGTTTGTTTTGCTTGTTTCGGAATATATTTCGCATAGATACACAACGACTATATGCGCATAGCCATCTCTAATTTTGAAAGGATAAACTAAAGGAAAGGCAACTAATCCATACAATCCATCCCCAACTCTTCGGTTACACGTGTTTGACTGAACAGTAGGACTTGAACGTAGCTTTTATAACTCCCCAAAGTGCGGAGCGCATTTTTGCGGCATTAATTGACGGAAGATTGTGAACAGTATTTTGAAGCTTGAAAAATGAAAGCAAGGAGCGTATAGAACAATATTAATACGTTCCAACAATGTTTTTTTCATGTCATGTTGCTTAGCAAAAATAGTATATACGTTATACTTTTATGCTAATATAGGTTCAGAAAACACACACTATGAACCTAATAACACGAGCGAAGTCGGGTACTTTCGCTAGTATATATATATATATATATAATAAACTTCAAATTAGGTATCATTAATCCATTCCACGACTCAAAAGGTAGAAGTATTTTAAAGAAATGTATATAAATTATTGTTTAAATAACCTGTTGAATGCATTGATAAATCACATTTATTTTTGTTTGTTTGAAGTTAAGCACAAAGCTACACAATGGA